GGGGGGGGAGTTTGACAACTTTGAAGTGGAAATTTCTTTTGGCTTCATTTTAATTTGGTCTAGTCTAATTTACAGAATGCAGATTGCATACACAGGAATATTTAGTGCCTGGTAGGTACTAGTCTCAGGTTCAGCTGGATGTGTTAGTTTGTCAAGATTTTACTTTGTCTGCAAATGTAGGTTCATGAATAAAGTCCTGCATATCCTCGGGGCTAAAATAACAGATCATCTGAAGCAGTAATGATACAGGTGCTTCTGCTGTGCTTTTAGTTGTTATGAATGTGATGAATCTGCTAAAACCAAAATTATCCAGTATCGTGTCACCAGTCGTCTTCTGGTAATGTCCTGTTCCCAGGCTGCCAACAAATCCTTGAAGTCTTCCTTCAGAAATACCGCCTGCGCCCTTAGTGTGATACCTCACAGCCCTGTCAGGCAGAGGCAGGATATTTTATGTGGAACATATTATTTAGACACTAGAATTTTAATTTACATTAATGAGGAAAAAATCTTGCTCACAAATGCTTCTGCTTCAGTAACTGTGAGGGCCAGACTAGCACAAATTTTATTTTCTAAGAGTCAGAATGGATGTGCCGCACACTATGACTTCACCTGGCGTAGTATCAGCTAAGTCAGAGCTTTCTGAAGGGGCAGTGCTAGGATAAGGCAAGGTCTGCAGTGACAAACCATGAGTGTCTGCCCCAAAATGCACGCAGCTCCGTGCACGCAGTGTTGCCACCAGAGGCGTGCAAAGCCTTTCAGATGCTGTGGTCACCCACGATGATGCAGCTGTCCTGCGTGGGCAGTGGGGGAAGCAAGGACCAGAGGTGTGTGACCAGAAAGGAGCAGTTCTTACCAGTGTGTGATACAATCAGAAGAGGCTCTCTGTCTCTGAACTGGGCTGCCAGTACTCCCTACAGTGATGTCACAGAATCATAGAATTGTTTAGATTGGAAAAGACCTTTAAGATCATCAAATCCAACCGTTAACCTAACACTGCCATTCCACCACTAAACCATGTCCTTCTGGTCACCACTGCAAAGAAAAGGAATCTGGGACTGGAAAAGTTCTCTATATTGCTTACATTTTTTTAAAATCCATCACCTCTGCTTTTATCATGAAGGAGCTACATGGAGGCCAGGTCCATCTCAGAGCAAGGGAGGATGAAATGGAAGTGGCTCCTAGCTTTCTACATCTCTTGACTTACCTTTAACACGTGTTCAGTAGTGGCTTGTAGAGACTTAATAGATCTACAACAGTAGTGCAGGAAAATGGTCTACCATAGCCATACTGCTTCAAGTAAACCATCTGGACAACAACAAAAGAGACCTAGCATTGCTGTCCTCATTAAACCCTCCCGATCGAAGGCATGGGTAGGTCAGCATGGCTCAGGAATGAATACATAGGATACAACATACTGGCTAGCTTTGCCCATGAGAACAGCAGTATAAAATCACCGATCCTGCTTTGGTGAACAGCAAGCCTAGAAGTACACTCCCACTGCTAGTTGTAATTTACTATAACATGACAAAATGAGGTTCTGCTTTCCTACCCCTTACCTCATTGAGCTACCGTTGGACATGCGTGTGGAGTCAATGCATTATGGTGATCAGTCGTACCAGAGAAGGAATAACCGAGCCACAGAACCTCTGTCAAGGCATGTTTTCTACAGGGTCTTTATGATCCCAGCAGGGATGTTGTCACCCAACTCCCAAAATCTTTTCTGAAAGACCACTTTCTTTTTTTTTTTATTTTTTTTTTTCCTTCAAATAGATTTCTAGGAGGTCAGTGTGTATCTATAGGTGAAGAATGGCTGGTTGGATTAACCCTCACATCAAACAATTTTTTCAGTTTTCTTCAGACATGTCTGAATGGTATAAAATGTAATGCAAGTTGTAATGGTTGGTGGTTTAATTCTGCCAATGTCCCTCAATAAAGCAAGGTAGGCACCACAGCCCATTTATGCAGGATTCAACCACTACTTAGCTTACGTGACCCAACATGCGATAGCGAGCAACATAAATGTTCCTTTAAAAAAGAAACAAAATATCTCCAAACCTGTTGCCATAACTAAATACTGCTACTCGGGGTGATTTATAGTAAACCGAAACTATGCTACAGTCATGGATCCCACATGCCTGGCATTTTACTCTAAGAATCTGGATTGTCCTTTTCAATCCTGATGCTTTATTCTCTTCTGGAGTTCAAATCATGTTCACATTCATAATTATTAGAAACTGGCATCTTGCTCTGTTGCATTAAAATGAAAAGAATATTCAGAATAGAAGTGTCCATTACACTTGGGAGATAGAGTGTAAAGATCAGCGTAATGGGTGGCATTGCTCAGCCGGAATCAGCCTTTCGCATCCATATGCTGCAGTTATGAGAACTCTGCGAAGACAGCACTGAAAAAGAAGAATCTGCACCTTCCAGTGGTTTTTAAATGGTAATCTGGAAGGGGAGACAGAGTAAAAGTGAGGTTGTGGTCTGGAAACAGATTTGATCTAAGTTTCCAAAGCATCTGTTGCAGGAAGTGAAGCCTGGATTCTTTATATATATAAATAGAGCTAAAAGCATATTGTTGATTTGACAGCGTGTAGACAGGGGAAATAATATTTGTTTAGATTTGATGGGGAAAATCTTTTGCTTGAAAGGAATACAGTGATTTTTTTTAACTTGAATTCCACTTGTTTCATTCTACTTTGCTAGGCTGTATTGAGAATTTTAGTTACTTTTCCTATAAAAATTTGTATGTGCCTTAAATAGCTATGCTATTAAAAGAGGATTTTTTTTTTTTAAATAATAACAAAAGTAGTGCCATTATCTACATGACACATTGCTTTCCCCTGCAGACATGCACCAGTAGAGGCTGCTGTGCACCATATTAAATAAACATTTATACGTACTGATAGACTAATTTACAGGCAGGTCAGAGATTGAACTTGAAATGTAGTGGTGTGCTCAACTTCTGTAAACATATAAAATTTATAAATGTAGAAACCCTAAGATTTTACAGACCGACTGTAGTCTGGGGATAGTAGCAAAGTAGCAAGCATTTGCTTTTCATCATTACGTGTTTCGAACGTCAGACAGGGCAGATAGTCATTTTTACAAATAGGCACCTGAAGGTGCTGAAGCATCAGTCATTGCTTTTTGATACCAGGCTCTCACTAGTTAATTAATTACCATATCACCATTTCATTAAAATGTTTATTATGTTTTGCATTTCTGATGTCTGAAATTTCTGTTAAAAAGCACTCCATGCATAAATATATCACTTTTACTAGAAGAGCAGGAATTTTTCTTAAAGCCACATGTATTATCCCTGTATTATTTGGGATACGGTTCCAATGACTCGCTCTCCTCTGTGTTCTGCTGCTGACCGGGCTCTGCAGGAGTGAAGCCACTGTGCTGTCAGAAAGGCAGGAGCACGCGGAGCTGAGCTCCCTCCATGGGTGCCTGACACCATGGCCGCACCACCGAGGGGCCTGGGCAGGCTGAGCCCCACACGAAGGGCTCTGGGGACCGGCAGCACTTCCACACGGAGCCTTTGAGACCTCACAGGTCAGAGTGCCCTTGCCCTTGCAAACGGATGAGAGTTAAGGACAACCTGAAAAACAAGAGGAGCGTCTGCTCAGTAGCTTCTAGGAGAGCAGTACTCAAATGGAGGCAGAAGAGATGCGTCAAAAAAATTCCGTGCAGGCTGTTTCTTCCTGCCATCCTTTTTCCAAGAGTGGTCTCTCTTTGGCAGCCGCGTGAAGAAGGAAACATTTGCTTTGGACCCATTCAGACAGCAGGCAGGAGACGAGCATAGTTTAAAAGAAAATCAACAACAAAGAAAGAAACCCGCATGCCCCAAACGGGTCGTGACCTGGGGAGTGCTGCCCGCCCTTCCTCTCCCTGTGAGATGCCACCCTGGCCCAGCCAAAAGCTGGACGGTGACAGCTACAGCCAGCCAGAAGCTGGGCATTACTCCTGCCTGCAGTGGCTGTGGGGAGAAGGTGGGAGCACTGCTCCTCGGGGAGTCAGGTGCGGACAAGGGATGCGGCAGCCAGAGGGAGTGAGGAAACAGCCACGATGGCCATGGAATGCAGAGGCTTTGGGGGTCTTTGTGCATGCTGGCCAGGGCCCTCCAGTCTGTGAATTGGGGATGTTCTGGCAAAATGAACAGCCAAACCAGTTGCTGTGCTGGAAAGCTGTGGGTTAGGGTGCAGGGCTCTGTATTAGGGCTGAGGATGGAGATAGGTGCGTATTGTGGGTCGCTGCTGTAGAAAACAAAGTTAGCTTTCCTGTCAGCTTTTTCACTGATATTTCCTCAGTAGTAAAGTCAGAGCAGAGTAACTGCCAGCTACATCCCCTGAAATTTGTCAGCGCTGTATATTCTAGGAGAGGCTAGAACGATGGGCGTTTCCAAATGATTTTGATTAAAAGCCAATATATATCATAGCTATATGCTATGTAGCCTTACCTCGGAGAGTACTTATACCTGAAGACTAGAGAGAACTGGTTGTTGGGAAACAGCACTATTTTTTTTCTTTCAGGCCCCGTGGGGGTTGGACTGAATGAACTTAAGCGGAAATTGCTGATCAGCGACACCCAGCATTACGGGGTAACGGTGCCACGTAAGTAAAAATACACTTCTATTCTCCTAATGCTATACTTGCATTACCTTAAGGCACTTTCAAATTTGGGTCTCTAAATGCATGCTTGGCATCCAAATTAGAAAAGTAATTTTTAAAAGTGCTGCTGCAGTTGTATTTTAAATAGCATTGATTAAACTGATAGGACATTTTGGCTCAGAGGCATTGCAGTAGACTTTCAGTAGAAGTTTAACATGATTGATGTCAGTGAGGTTTAGTAAATGAAACTCGGCTGAAGAACACCCTGGATTTGGCTGTAAAGCAGTGATATGTACTCTGTTACCAATGCTTGCTTGCAGCAAAATGGCCTTTACGTATTAGGCAGGCTGAGAAATTAAGACTGATGATAAGCAGTTTAATCCTGTGAATAAATTAATTAAATCCCATTGATTACCTGTAGAGAAGTTGATTCGGGGTTTTTTTTCCTCTTTCCCCCATCTGACCAAGTAATATAATTTGCGTAACATTGAATAACATTGCTCTATATTAACTTCTACAGTACTTTACTGGGTTTTCTTTAATGTGGACTTGACAGTTTTAGTTAGATTTTCATTCCTTGGTTTGCTTTTTACGTGTACCTGTGCCTCCTGTTGGGATCACGAAAAAAATATGGGTCCAACATTCTCAATGCGGGAGATAATGTCACAAGTTTTTGCAAGTACAGGTACTCTATAAGGCATATATATGAATTAGTTGTGCTAGGTAGAAAAATGAGTACACTTGGGTTTGGCAAGTTATTTCATTTGCACATATTTGCTTCAGCTGGGTATTGAAAACAACAACAAAAAAAAGCCAGATGTTCCCAAATATTTACCACATTGAAGCATATGCAATCATTTGCCCAAAAATATTTCTCTAAAAATTGCCAGTATTCATCAAGCTGCCTTCTCTCTTTTCTCTTCCAAATTTGTGGTTATAATTTAAAGCAAACACGTAAAGAAATCCCTCTCCCTGAAATTCAGTAAGTCAGGACTTGGAGGGATAACTGGGGTTCTTGTCTTGAAACGTTTCTCTTCGTGTCAACCTAAGAAGAGCGCAATCTCGAATGGCATCCAGGGCTGCGTTTCTGCACGCAGGTTGTGTACGTTCCGATGCAACAGAGAATGCACGATGCTGTAACACACAGCTTGTATTAAACGGGACTTTCGAAGGGGTTTGTTATTCCTAAGTGGCAACATCACAAATATGTTTCATTTGTAAGCAAAACTTTTATACATAGTTCTTGAAAGTAAGAAGTGCAAATCTGACAAGGCTACTGAAAGAAGGAACTCAGTTTTGATCACCAGAATAAGAAAAGCACTAGAACATAAAATTCACACCCCATTTTTTTATTGTCATGCTTCACATACCATAGCTACAAGTGTTGCTAATGAACGTAACGTTTTATAAATCAGGTTGGTGAGCTTTGTTTCCCTTTATGGTCCTGTATGCTAATAAGTTTAACAAGTGGCCAGGCTGGGGTAAGTGTTAGGGACTGCTGCTCCTGTTATTGTTCAGCTGTCCTCATTTTATTGGATTTTTCCACTAGTTAATAAAAATGATAATCTGATACTTGTCCAGTAAGTTTTTTCCTGCCTTTCCTGCATGCTTTTAAACTCAGTCCTGTCATGTGCTTGAGTGCTGCCTACCAGACCCAGAGCAGCCTTACGTCCATCAGGAGCGAGGGAACCGCTGTGCTTAGTATTGCACAAGGGTCGTGTGCTTTTCAGTGTTTCCTGAACTGGTTTGCATTATATTGTTTTTGCATCTCTTCCTTTTTTTTTTTTTTTCATTTACTGAAACTGCAGACACTACCCGACCAAGGAGAAGCCAAGAAAGTGACGGTGTCGAATACATTTTCATTTCCAAGCACTTGTTTGAGACAGACGTACAGAATAACAAGTACGTTGAAGAGATTTTAACTAGAACTGCAGTTAGAACAAAGGCTTTATTATAAAACGGGGCTGGTTGCAATTTTAGATAATAAGTCAGAGTGGATATAAGTTGCAGTGATTTGAAGATGTGTTAAAGTTACATTTTGATATGTAAGCCCTTCAAAGCAGCTGGCAAAAGCACAGAGCAAAAAAGCAGTACGTGCAAACACAAATGTTTCTAAACTTTCAAGTAGTTTCAGTACTTCAGCTCATCAAGAAGACACCGAAATTGTAGGTGTTCAGGATGGGGGAACACTCCTTTAATAGGGCATTGTCTGCCATAGCAATAAAGCATTGCAGCTCGAGGTGGGGTGGCCCTGGGAGTGCTGCAAACGTGCCTGAGTCAATGTTTGCGTAGTTCTGCTCTCTTTAAGGCCAGGCACTTCCTCTGCTTTTGAATTTAGAGATCTACAGTGAAGCCCCTGCCTGTAGACCTGCCAGAAATCAAACTAAAATGAAGACAATGGTAGCATCGTGCTCTCCAGCAGCCTGTAAAATATCGTAGCTTGAAAATCTGCCCCAGTGTTTCAGAGGGCAAAAGTGTATTAGACACAAAGCTGTGGGTTTTATTGAAACTTCAAACTGTGCTTTGCTTTTTTGGCAAATAGCGCTTGTACTTTTATAGCACATAACCAGCCACCTTGGTTCCATTAGCACCATCATCGCTCCTCCTCCTCTTCTGAGACAGAGAATTTGGATATTCTGTAGTGTGCAATGAAATTTCAGTAGTTTCTATTGTTTAGCTTATCCACTGTTTTATTGCATTGCATTAGTTCAGAAAAAGAGGTGATGGAAAACATTAGTGGGCTGTTGGACTACAGTACTTTTTTCTCTTTAACTGTAATACAAGCAGGTGTTACTGATTTTAAAGTGGTAAAGTAGAAGATTTCTTAAAATTGACATGCTGAAGTACTTGACAGCATTTCCTTTCTAAAACATGGTAAAACTCTCATGTAAAGTAAAATATTTTTGCTCCTGAATTAGATCTTATAAACCAAACTGATAAGCTTTTTTTCTGGAGACAGTGGAAATTACTCCAGCTGTTTTCACCTTCTTCCACAGGTTTATCGAGTATGGCGAGTACAAGAACAACTACTATGGTACCAGTTTAGATTCTGTTCGATCCGTTCTAGCTAAAAACAAAGTTTGTTTGTTGGATGTGCAGCCTCATGTAAGTAAGCATGCCTTTTGGATGCTTGTAGTTCCCCACATTGGGGGATTCCTGGGATTCCAGGAAAAAAAATTGTTTCTAAAAAGGTGTATCTTATTCCATGCTGAATGACTGTTGGGTGGGCTTGCTGGGTACCTTTATCACAGCAAGACTCTCTGAAAGGAGGAGAGGAAGGAAGATTCAATACATATTGGCAAGTATTCAGTTCAGTCATTAACTGAATGGAAAGCCTGCAGCATAATACCAAAGATTTGATTAAAAAATGCTCCTATATTTTCATTCATTTTTCTTCTGGTTTGGGTTAGAGGTTCTCTCTGAAACAACTCCAGAATGGCTTTGAGCTACCGCCCAGTCCAGCGACTCTCTCACGCGTTTAGCCGGACCATTTGTGCAAAGAGTTTCCATGCAGGGTGGACATGAGGCAAGGAACGCACTAAATGCGATGTTGGCTGGATAATGTTTAAGAACATTCCTCTCTAAACCATTTGTTCTTGCGTTGACCTTGTCTTTCAACCCCACTGAACAGCTCCACTGGGAATTTTTATGCTACTAATAACCACAGTGCTTCCAGGAGCTGGACTAGTTTGTTTAAATCCAGCCAAAGTATTTCTTCTCTAAGGGTGGCCAGCCTGTGACTTCTGAACCCCAGCAGCTTGTGAACAGTTCCCGGGGCAGTTTCGGATGTGGGGCTGTGCCACAGGAGCGGGGCAGGGGCTGCACTGGCAGAGGGGCATCCGGGGGAGCCAGACCTTCCCAGGGAAGGAGGGGAGCTGGGCAGGGGCTGCTGGGGCTGATACTGCCAGGTTGCTCTGCGAGACCGTTCCACATCCAGCACGGCCCTGTTGTCCACTGAAGCACTGAAGTCCCCCATGGACCCAGGCTTGTGAACTGTTCAGGGATCCCACTCTCCAACATGGCATTTTCCTATGGGCCCTGGCAGCATGAAGAGGACGGAATGCTGCTGGCCAGCCCCTTCCTGCTTAGCGGACACGCAGTACTGGAGAGAACAAATCATCGACCTGTGTGACCGAGTGTCACAGATACCTTTTCCTACTACTTTTCATAGGAACAGAAAGTATTATTCCTGCTAAAATGTGTTAAGCTTTTCCTCTCCTCCATCCTGCCGCTGCCCGTGGCCCTGCAGGGGCACAGATCAGCCTTTGCCGGACTGATGGGGTTCACCAGCAGCCCCTGTGGAAGTGGGGGAGTCTTCTTACCCTTTGCATGAAAATTCTCCTTACATGAATCAATGCCGATCACCAGGGTGGGATGGCAGTAAATGAAAAATAGCCTTCTCAAAGTGCTTTATGGGTTTATTTCGGTTGGTGGAGAGTTTCTTTTATTCTGGTAAATTCTATTGTAAGAAATAAGCCAATTAATTAAAACCTTTCCTCTTCCCAGACAGTGAAACACTTACGGACATACGAGTTTAAACCATTTGTTATATTTATAAAGCCTCCATCACTTGACCGTTTGAGAGAGACCAGAAAAAATGCCAAGATTATTTCAAGTAAAGATGATAAGGGAACTGCAAAACCCTTTACAGTGAGTATATTTAGACATGATAAAATGTGAGAACTTGTGAAGGGTTTTGTTGTAGTGGTTTACCTTGAAAATAAAGGTTACCACTGGATCTCACTGCCAGTACTTGTCAAGGCTTACACATAGTATCTTGTTGTTTGCCAACCTCTCTCACATCACAAATGTACTGTGGTGTTCTCATTGTTTGACGCACTCATGGGCATTTACATTTCCATGGTCCTCTGATTTTATGTCATTGAAGAACCCCCACAATGCAGGTGTCTTTTTATGAGAAATAATGCTGTGGATTTCCTTGGAAAAAATTGCATTTGGGCTTAGGTGTTTCTATTTAAGTATAAGAATTTCCTTTTTTTATCAAATGTATTATTGGGTCGAAGTTTAGAGGAAAGCTCAAATATAAAGCATCAATTAAAAAACTAAACGCTACTTTAATAAAAACCCTGTACTTCTGTATAAAAGAAACATTTTTGTTAAATGTTACAGGGAAATGAACACTGTAAGAAAGGAGAAAAATCTAAGCAAGTAACAAATGCTGCTTTTTGTCAGTAGCCGGAAAAAAAGTATTAGTCAGATTACCCAACAGTAACCTATTTACTTCTTTGAAATATAATGAAATCATATTTTAACTGAACCTAAAGCAAAGCTGATCATCGTTAGACTTTTTACCTACATTTACGGTGTGTATCATTTTCCCTCATTCAGGCGTTATTTAGGATTTTTTAGATTTTGTTTCAACCAGAGCCACGGATATAGTCACCAACTGTGTCTGTGTAGAAGATGCATTTGCAATAGTTTGGAAATAATGCTCTATAAGAATATGTTCTATGGTATATACAATGGAAGAGGAGTTCATTCTTAAGAGCAACCTTCAGGACATTGCTTAGTTAGGACAGGTTTAATCTCTCCAAGTTATGTTAACAATTAAATTCCCAAGATTTGTTCCCTCCCCAAACATGAAGAGGAATCCACTGAGCCAGGTTAAAGCCGGCACAGGGAGACAGCTCCTACCAAGCTCTTCACAGAATAAAGGCTGCACTGTAATATATCGCATGCTAATAGCAAGCTGAGACTTAAGTAATGAAGCTTTAGATGTATCATCAAAGTAAACAGCTAGAAACGTTTTCCACTGGTACTGCTAACAGAAAATGTCTGTAATTACCATGCAGTGACTAATTGTGTCACTGCAAGGGGAGAGATGAAAGAATTGCCTGTTGAGCAAAGTCTGCTTGTGAGAACGCTCTCTCAGATCACTTGTAATGGTAATCTCTAATTTTTTTTTTATTGAAAGTACAGTTTCCATCTCCTGATGAGAAATAAGCAAGTAGCTTTGCGTTTACTGCAGAATGAGTTTATGTGATATTGCTATGGACTGACTATGCCTTCCACTGATCTTACTAGGAAGAAGATTTTCAAGAAATGATTAAATCTGCCCACGTGATGGAGAGCCAGTATGGCCACCTTTTTGATAAGGTGATAGTCAACGATGACCTCGCTACAGCTTACAGTGAGCTCAAAACAACTTTTGACAGGTTGGAGACAGAGACCTTCTGGGTTCCCATCAGCTGGCTGCATTCATAATAATGTTTTAAAAACAGAAAACATTTGCTGTTGTCTCAGCATCTAAATATGGGACATGGTTAGGCATTACTGGCTGGCCGCTTTCTTGGTAAGAGGGCTTTCTAACTCAACCTGAGTAGCAGGCACGCTCTTCATGCACTTGGAACTGGTCTTGTTTTCCTGTGTCTTCAATCCTCCTGCCCACAATTTTGGGGCAGAACAGTCAGATTAAAGCGATGTCATACTATGCTCCATAAAGTGATCTAATACTAGTGTAACAAAACTGCCAAACGCCTCTTTATCATCAGCTGTGTATTTCCAAGGTAAGCTTTTTTTAACCGGAGAGTTTGCAGAAGATACTAATTAATACCAGAGATCAGCACTTTGATGATTTTAAGCGTAACTGCTCCCATAAAGAGCACATCAGCACTTGGAAGTTATTACCCCTTAAGTGCTTGAGAGAACTGAGACAGGCAAAAGTGACCAACATTTTTATGAGGAAGGCATCTTAGTTTTAATTACGTCTCAAGATAAGTGTTTCTACTTTTCCAGATGTGAACCTTGTCTAACATGTACGAGTGATTTTAATATTCCTTTGCACTTACACAGTCACGGAAAGAAAGGTGTATTCAGTGGCTACCTGTGAAATACTCTGCTGTGAGCATGCATGGATTGAAAATATTTTCATGCATGCTTTGTGGCACCACAAGGAAAACTCAAGGGAATATTTATTTAAATAGGGAAAAATGTGAGTTACTATGTATATAACTTCAAAGTCTTTGGGATTAATCTTCTGTAAAATCAGTGGCAAAGTGATACGAATAACAACAAGGTAAAGTTATTTTTTTTTTCCTTTTAAATTGATTTCAAACATTGTTGGCCTCCTTTAGAACAGTTTTCCCATCAGAACAATTAGCGAGGAAACCTTGGAGATCTGGGAAGCAGTTGCAAGAGATGAATTCTTTTTATTGTTTAGTTTGTAGTGATACTTTTTAGTAGTGTAACAGATATTTGTCTCCACTCAAAAATAAATTAATGCTGTAGACTTCACTGTAAAAAATCTCCTTGTCACTGGTCAGACACTGTTGGAAACCTCATTTTAAAATTTGATGTGGCAGTATAAGCAAATGTATATTAGACGATGTATTTTTAATATAGATAATTTGGTATTTTTCTTTATTTACTACTGATATGCAGGAAATGAGTACAGCTGTAAAGACCAAGTAACACCTGTGTGTTGTATTGTGAGTATGTCTTGTAAGTACAGAATGTGTATAGGAACTTTCTGACTTTAGGTCATCACATCTGTGGCATTGAAACAGGAAACCGTTATTTCATGTTAATCTGTAAAGAGAATATAGCTGTCTTGTTTAAAGAAAAAAAGAATTTAGTGAAACTTTATATATTTATGAAAGGGTTGAAAAGGGATGTTAAGTTTTTAAATTTCTTGTCAATGTGATCATTTACTAAAGAGATTACTAGGTCTGTAATTTGAAACACTGTCTCTGTAAATGGAGCTCAACATTCCATGTAAATATTTTATTTCAGTTCATATGCGGATAAAGCCATCAGATTTTGCAGTTTTATTCTAAATGCATATTTAATGTGTGGGTCATTGCATTTGGCTTAGAGTCGTATAAAATAAATGAAATGCAAGCAACAACAGCAAAATCCCTAGGAGCCTGGAAATGTTTATGCAGGAGTTACAGATGTACTGAATCCCAGTACGGATACATGCTCTGCCTGAATAGCTGTAACGCAACTTTCGCCAAATTTCACCGCTTTCCTGGTGGACTTAACTTTTTTTGTAACATAAATAGAAATCTGCTGATTAAATTAATTGACTGGAGATTACGTGAGTTGAGAAAACGTTTTCTATTTTTTTTTTTTAATTACTGAAAATCAAACTGTTTTTTAAGGGATCTGGAATTCAGTGGGTCTGTTCGCCTTCGCCTGGGTGACGCCGAGTGCCCTCACCATCTCTTGCAACCAACCCAAACTGAGAGGGCACTCGGCGTCTCTCAGGATCCGGCCGTTTCCAGCAAGAGGGGCTTAGTCCTTACTGAAACACTATTAACATTGCTTCTAACCTGGGCCGTCTCCGAACATTGGTGCACAGTAGCGCTCATGTATGGGACCTGCTTTTCTCTTCAAGAAATAGATGCTAGAATAATCTGCAAACTCCCTGTTAGAAACAGTTCTGGGCTGTCCCACGGGCTGTTTTTCTTGTCGTTTTGAAATTAATTTAATTCCCATTCCCGGGTCGGTGTGGTCTGGGAGGACCTTCTACAACAGGTTTGTGGTGCTGGGCGGCCGCAAGCGGCGCGGTGCTTTGCTGCATTTACAGAGACTCTGACCCTCTGATCCCCGGCGCAGCCCTGGCAGCAGCTCCCGAGACGGATGGCTGCCTGCCCCATCTCCAAGCCAGGAGCTAATTCCTGAATTGTAACACCTGCAAAAGAAAGGGAATCACAAAAGCATAAATCTAACCAACAGAGTAAAATGTGCACGGAGTCCTTCAGGAGTGAGAAATACTTTTAATTAAATTCCTAGACTGCTCTTGATAATCAACATTCTTGCAGTGTTAGCTTCAAAAAAAATTTAAGCCTCTGGTCTGCATGAGGCAGGCAGAGATGACAGTGGGTCAGAAAAAATGTCTTAGCCCAAAAGTTTCAACAGAACAGGAGCTGAGCCCATGTGCTGAATTGTTCTGGGATACCAAGGGCGGGGGGGAGGGAATGTTGTTGCTTTGACTCCTAAGAATTTGGGAACGAAGACGACTAAACATGTTTCCAATATTCCACATATTCAAGTTGCGCTGTGTGGGTTTTTAGAGAACTGTATGTTTTGACAGTCAAGTCCAGATGTTTTTATTGTGTTTTAGCTGTTTGCCATAGTCAAACAAATGGTAGTATTTTTTAATATAAAAAATGTACCAAGCTCTATACTTGAATTTGCCATCCGGCCCTCGGTTGATGTCTTACCTGAAATCTGATCTTACCTTCATATGCAAAACAATAAATTATTGATATATCACTCCAGGTGGTATTTTTCTTTGTTGTAAATTGCACCATTACATACAGGCTTAATCACTTTAAAAGGTAAAATGCCTTAGTAGTAAGTTATTTCATAGGTCTCTATTAACTGTAGTGCACAATTATCTTTAAATGGAAAAATAAAGCAACCTAGAACAAGGACTGAAATTCTTAATTTTTCATTTTTGTTGCCAAATTCTCCTTCAAAACAAATGTTTTTTGTAACCCAAAAGTTTTTTGTAAAGTACTGTTACCCTTAACTGCAGCCCACGCCAAAATAAACCATTTTCTTTCTGAGAGGGAAGGCTAAAGTCAGGGGTCAAACGGAGGCATCAGCTCGCCGGGGCTTGCAAAGTGCTTTGAGTCTTGTCCGAGTTGCCGACTTGGAGCGTTTCATCGGTCACATACGCTCCTAGGCCCCTCACAAGTCCCATGGGAGGTTGTGTTCATTTGTAGGACTCGAAGAAGGTAATGCTTAAGCTGAGTTACTTTTTGCATTGTGTTATGTCTTTTCCAGAGAAAAAGCCTAACACGTACCAGGATTAGCGAGAAGACTTCTAAGCCCCTTCTGGTTTGTTTCAGCACAGTATTCTGCGTTTCCCACATGTACTGAGGTTCAGGTTTCTACTGTGCATGGAGAATTTTTTCCCCGGTAAAGCTTGTATTTAGCTTTTGTGAGATTGTTTCAAAGGATGAACAGTTCCTTCAGAGATTTACAGTTAAAGTTATAATCCGAGCCTATTTTTGCTTCTGCAGTATCTACAGTCATTTCCCCACAGGATTAAGAGTTTTCTGTGTATCAATGCTTAAAATCATTTGTACTTGCAATTTGCCCAAGATCCTTTTTCTCTCAAAGGCATTAAGTATTTATCATATATTACCATGATTAATGTATGATACCAAGCATTCGACTGAAAAAATGTCTGAACGCAAAATTAAAGGAACACAGTGGGTGTATTTGTTGTTTCAGAATTCTGGTGCTAGATAATGGTTAAAGGCTTCAGCAAAAACATACACAAAAACATTTGGAAACAGTTAAAGTCTGGTCTTAAATTTTGTCTTGTTAAATGACAGTACAAATGAGAGAATTTGGAGTTCTAGACAGCTGGAGACTTTTTCCCTCATGGTATCTGTGTCTGAAATACAAGTTGGATATTTGGAAGACTGTATGGAATGATTTTACATCTCTATAATAAAATACTATGGTATTTTGTGTAGCTGCCATCCAACATTTTAACAAAGAGGGTAAATCCCTGTGATTATTGAGACTTTGTTTTGCTTCTATTTTAGTTGTGCACATATGTCTGTTTGAACAAATTTTTAAAGACTTGGTGGCACAAAGCTGCTGGCTACACATTTCAATATCTGAATGGAGAAAAATATCTTTAGGATTTCCAAAAGGGTTCAAATGGCACAAAGAGTATTTGAAAACTTCTTGAGAAGAAATAAATAGAGAAAATTAGGTCACAGTTTCTTTCATAATTAAGGCTATTTCTTTTCGGTAGTTGTATTAATATTCACGACTTGAATACGCTAAAAAACCAGAAGGCATGCTATAATTTTCGTCAAGTGAAATTTAGATTTGTGGTTTAACAAAGATGTTAAAAGCTTTCTGCAGGATTATGCACAGGCTCGTGGAAACTTTAGTTTTAAGGGATTCAGTACATGTTTTGAAGGCAGAGGGTCTGTAGGCATGGCAGAGAGGGACTGAGAATCTTACAGACGTGAGTACTGCCCTGGAAAAGTATCTTTGGTTTTGTGAGTCTCTGTACGCGGAGGTTAGCAAGTTGGCTGCGAATGTTCTGCGGGTTCTGTTCCCTCCTTAGTAAATATAAACAAGCGCCAGTAAATCCTTATTGGTAAGCAAAGCCAAAATGGTTGGAATTATGGAGAGCTGCAATGAAGTGCCCAGGAGGAGTGCTCCGGATCCTGGTGATGTTGGCAAAGCTGTTGCTTTGCTTTACTTCTGATTTTGTTAACTTTTACAGCGAGAGTACAGAGATTGCAGCTTTAACACAAACTTACCAGACTGGGTTTAATCATTGGCAATTTCATTCCTTTTTTCCTCTTGGCCTCTGTACAGCTTTAGTTTAGTAATCTCAGTCATATAAGGAGGGGGAAAGGGATAATTGACTCATCTTGAAAAATAGCGAGACACCAAAAATCTGACAGAAGGACATTTTTTACTTCCCTCTCAATGAATGCCGGAGGCAGCATGTTCCTGAAACAAGGGGTGAAGAGCCAGCGTTTGATCCAGACGGAGAGCACATGAACAGTGTTTTGTCCCACGAAAACAGAACAGCTCTGTGGCCTGTTGGATATGCAAGAGCAGCAGCGTGGTAAAAAAGGCCAGGAGCAATTTTAATTTTTATGCTGCCAGTGTTGCCTTTGGGGCTTCTTGTTTAAGAAGATGGCACTTGGGGGCGGTTCTGCTTGTTTTGTGTGTGACCTCTGGACATTCCTTGGCGTGTGTCACCTTTCCTAGATATGCGTTACAAGCTTATTCTTAAGAAACGATGGCTCCCTAAAACTGGGCTAGGCTTTGAGTGGTGGGAGTAGTCACCGTGTTTCATGATCAAGGCACGCATTTATGATGTGGAAATTGCACAGATGGAAGCATGGGTGCAAGACGGCTCCAGTGTGCATGCGTGTAGGCCCTCTCCTATTTTACTGAGAGCTTTGCCCACTGTGTATGGGTTATACTCCCCCACTAAACCTATTTCAGTGTAGTTTCTGGAGCCCTTCTCCCAAATGCTGGCTGGCCTGTGTTAGGCACCATACGAACACGGAGCAAAAATGTAGTCCCAGGTTCAAAGAAGCTCACTAAAAAAAGTCAGAGAGATGGCAGAGGGGTGCAGCCCAGCAGAAAGGTGCAGAGAAAGCCAGCGAGCACAGCTCTTCTTTCCAACTGGCACCAGGGGCTGCGCTGGCGTAAGGGGGGGTGGCCACGTCTGGGGCTCAGCATCTTGCATCGGGTGGTTGGGGGGCTTCCTGGCAGGGCTTCGGCCCATGCGGGTAGGGCCCAGGCACAGCTGAGGGGTAGCAAAAGGTT